CTGTCTTATCATTGTTCTGAATTTGGGTAAGCTTTTGAACTTCATTTTATAATTCAGATGACCTACACAAAACTTCATATACTTATTTTTAATGTTCTGAGCGAATAATATGCCCAGGTAATGAACCAGAACACATTCCTGGCCCTCACTGAACCAACTGCTTCATGAAGTAAACAGACAGCTAAACAAGTAATTACAGTACAGCGAAAAGTACTAATAAGAGATGAAGTATTGTCTGGAAGAGCTTCTTATAAAAAGTAAGCTCTAAACTGAAACCAGAAGGGTAAGCTGTTTTGGGTCTAGGTAAAAAGGAATAATGGGGTACTAGAGGGATGCTAACACCTGGCACAGCTAGAGCCCAATGTAAAAGAAAGCTTTTGGTGGGTTTTGAGCAGGAGAAAGTTGAGTTCAGATTTAGAAAAATCACTCTCGTTATGGTGTGGATGAAGAAAGAAAAGAAAAAGATTACTGAGAGAAAAGACTACAGACAGGGAACCAATTAAGAGTCTGTTTTAGTACACTCTAGAAGATAGATAAAGGTAAAATAGGTTGGTAGTACTGGAGATGGAGATAAGAGATAAATGAAAACTATTTCCCAATTCAGCTATCTTGACCAACTTAACAGCAAAATTGGGCATTTATACCTGAGACCTGAAAAGCTAAATTTTATAATTAACTTTTAATAATATATTAAATCCAACTTCTAAGATATAACTATAGAGTAGTACAACCAATGTCTACATAAATCATACAAAAAAATGAACATTATTACTTCATAATTGGAATGAAAGTTTAGTACCTGCTTTTGCTTCCTACTTTCACCAAAACTAATAATAATTCTATACCTAAGATGAAGTTTTAAGATAACCAAATTTCCTAGATCTTATAAACATAATCATAATTAAATATAAGTTGAAATGAAAAGGCTTACGTGTCCTCCCATGGATATTCCGGTCATTCCCAGAGGTCCATAACCCTCCCTCTCTAGCCAATGCAAGAGAGCTGCAGATTCTAAAACAAGAGCTCCTCCCATCACAAAAAGGTCAGACACATTTTTTAAGCTGGACCTTCTGGCGTCACAAAACAAAACAGAAAATGATTTATTTTATGCATTTACATTTTAACATACTCAAATTTACAACAGGCAGCCAGACTTCATGTTTTTCTTTTAAAGGACCACACAGCTAAGTAAAACAATGGAATAAACCGATGGAATTAGAGTGTTGCTAACACTGTTCTACATATTAATCACCTAAAACTTGATAAAAATACATGTTTTTTTTTTTTCCTTTTTGTCTTTTTTCGTGTCCGGCAAAGGATCGCAACCCTCAGTGTCGCGTCCGTACTGGACTGGGACCGGCAATTTTCCTTTTTGTATTTTTTCGTGTCCGGCAAAGGATCGCAACCCTCGGTGTTGCGTCTGCACCTCGCTCAGCCAGTGAGCAGGAACCGGTCTGTATGTGGGATCCGAACCCTCGGCGGGAGCGCCGCCGCGCTCTCAAGCGGCGCACTGTAGCAGTGCGCCACCGGGCCGGCCCAAAAATACATGTTTTAATTAATTTAAATAAAGGTCAACTCAACTGGAATTTTCTGTTTTTAAAAACTGATCTTACATAGAAGTATATTAAGGAGTAGGGGTTAGCTCAGTTGGTTAGAGCGTGGTGCTGATAACACCAAAGTCCAGGGTTTGATCCCTATACTGGTCAGCCTCAAAAAAAGTACTTAAATACATCTTTTTAGATCCCAGAACCAACCTTATATAGCAATAAAAAAATATTTTATTACAAAAGTGACCAAATTAGGATCTATTTTTCCTTTTTTTCTTTGCTGGTTTTTTTTTTTTTCTTTCTTTAGAGTCTATTTTTCAAAATTTAATTTGTATTAAAGACATACATAACTGGCTACCTTGCTGGTTTTTTTTTCTTCTTTCTTTAGAGTCTATTTTTCAAAATTTAATTTGTATTAAAGACATACATAACTGGCTACTGGATGTACAAAAATTCATTTTTGTCATCATTGTCAAAATGTACAAAAATTCATTTTACCAGTGATTATCTACTGTATGTATATGTATGATAATTATGTGCAAAGAACCAGGTGTCATAAGGAATGCTAAGTGTGAAAAACAGAATCCTGGCCCCCACAGAGCTTATGTCCACTATTTTACCAAGTCCTCTCAGAGCTATTAAGTCCAAAAGGCAGGGTTTCTCTTTATGGAAACTATGCTATCTTTCATAAAAACAGAAAATATCCATGTTTTATCAGAAAAGAGCCCATTTTTCTTTGTCTTTATTATCTATCTTAAAGCCAATTTTCTATTTATGATTACATAATTCCCCTCATTATTTTGGCCTGCTATGGAAGTCTTGAATTCTGAGGTCCTCCCCAGTTTGCTCTTTTACATAGATATTACTGATATGATGTTCTGGGACAGTGGCTATAAGTGGTTATTTATAACAATGTACCCAGTCTCGAACTGCTTAAGCACTTCTGAAAAGA